GGATGTACGGCGTTGAAACAAGGGAGTAAAGAGCCCCCTTGAGGATGTCAGACACACACAACATTACTAGTGACACTGAACCACACCAGGCTCGCTGAATAATCACCGGACACGTGAAACAATATCAGCAGAATCAGAAAGAGGAATTTTCTCAGCTGCGCGTTGCTTAATGTTCATTAGAATCTAAACAGTGGGGGGACCGACAGTGCTGCAATGAAATAAGGAAATAGTGGTTAAAGTAAAGTTTGTTCTATATCAAAAAGTAGGGGATCTGCTTTTTTGTGTGAAAGACCAGAGTGCTGGTGGGAAGAGGACAAGCTTGACCCAAGCCAGAGAGGTTTGACCTGAAGTGAGAGCTTCTCTGGTCCTTTGTCTCCCTCTGCAGCTCTAGCTGGGTAAGGACAGATAGAAGAAGCCATTTGAAAACGGAAAAAGGGGAAAAGTCTTGGGGAAAAAACAAAACAAAACAAGTAGAATTAAAATAAATACTTGGGGATAAAAATGCTGCATGATTGCTACAGCATAAAAGTACATAAAGCTTCCACTTCAGTCATTAGCGAGCAGATTGTTGCAAAAATCTTGGCAGTGTTGCAGCGATTCCAAGCAATTCATATTTTTGAAATAAAAATAAGATTTTAAAAAAGAACCTGTTAGTCTCTTGTTTCTTTAAATTACAAACTCATAAGGATAAAATTCTCCCCTTTTTAGCTTCTCATGGTGGTGAATTCGAAACCCTTCCCGCCATCTAGCCTTTCCCCCCACATCTGCAACATGTTTACAGCTTGAAATGTGCATTTGTGCACCCAAAAAACCCATAAATCTTCTTTACATAAAAGAGATCATTTCTGAAGACGTTTATGTCCCTCGTGTCACCGTTAAAAAATACAGCCCTGCCATAATCTGCTCTGGAAAAAGGTTCAAGATGCTTCGAAGGCAACGACTGCGTGAAAAAGTAGAAATGTCGCCCGTCAACATGGAAATAATTTCCCCTCCTGTCAGCTGTCGGGTTTTGGGGGATACTCAGGACGGTGTAAATTACATTTGATTACAAAGTAGTTTCTTGTAGCTGTGTCATAAATACTCTCTTGCTTCTTCACCCCCAGGCCTGGCTGTGCCTTTTTTATCTCTGAAAACCCTTCACAGTGCAGGGGGTCATATTCATTTCACCAACCGCGCCTCAGATCTTTTGTGCATTCTCTCATGCGTCTTAGCCCATTACACATATAAGCACCATGTGCTTGTCTCGCAGTATTAGGGTCTAAACAATGCCTCTGACATTGCGGTTAAGCTTTAAAGTCACTCGAGTTGCACGTAGCAGTGAGTTAAAATGGCCCATATGCACTTGTCTGAGCTAAACAAATTGAACCCATCAGTTTGTCTTAGCAGATCAGAGACACATGCCATATGTTGAACTGAGCTCTTTGATGCCTGTCTTTTCCTATGAGCTCAAATGTCACATTTTACATATAAGGCTGGCATAAATCTATATTTTTTCCTACTATTAACAAATCCCCAAACCAGCAGTGTGTCTGTGGCAATCAGCTCCACCATGTATAGTTTCATTGTGCACCTGCTGACTCATTTCAGCATCAAAATTGTGTACAGGAAACACGATCTAATCATCTAACTGGACATAAATGCTTTCATCGGTATTCTCGCGAACCATTCATCTCATCTACTTCAAATTTTGTCGGTGTACTGCCCGAGTAAGAAAGGGCTCCAGTGTAGCACTTTCCTACGCAAAGTGTTTATTACAAACGGTCTCATTCGCACACACATTCACGCAAGCACTTTCTAATGTGTCCAACGCCTTTCTATCTAACGTTCATTCACACGCCAGGAGCATTGAGAGCAAGTCAGTATTTTACCCAACCTACCTTCCCACCCCCGCGCTGTCACGATGTTGGCATCATCAAAAAATGTACAATGTCAGAGTAATAACACTAATCATGGGATTGATTTGTGGCCTCATGATGATGTGTCACACAGTCTAAAAATGTCCCGTAGCTGTATTTTTATAGTTCCTGGAAAGCTACGAAGCTTAAATATAAACTTGGATTCATGGTAGGTACAAGAATGAACACATAGTTTAGGTTCACCTTTATTTTTCTAGGAAGAAAGAAGTGTTAGTAGGGTTAGGCCTCCAGGTAGACCTCCACTGGGGATCTGCTCCTCCTCATAATTATCTGGTGGGAGTGGGTCCCTGGCTTCAGCACAGCAGTACATTTATTAAAAGAAAGTCAAGGAGGATTTTATGTGTACAACACAAAGCAAAGATGTTTTTTAATAGAAGCTGAGCTATTTTATGCGTCTCTTATTGTCACTTTGAACAGTCATTGTCACAAAAAATCCCCCAAAATACCACTTTAAAAAATAATAGCAATCAATGCCCAATATCCAGAGCTACAGTACAATAGATGCACAATTTATCAGTCCCTCCCAACTAATACACTGTCTATATGAGCAACAACACCAACAAACAGCTTATTGGATGTAAAATAACACACAGGGTTCATTATACTGGGCAGAAGATCTCTCAGACAGCAATAGCTCCCCTCAGAAAGAGAAAAGATGGTGGACACATACTTTGGATGATTGCTAAGCCATCCAAAGCTTCTAGAAATAAAACAATATATCACTTTCCTCCCTGCTGGGCTAAAGCATCACACTATCACTGTCTGGGACTTATAAAAAAAAGATGTGAGGAAAAACTTGCAACATAACTATCTTCACGAAGTAGAAAATGTCGACATCTTTACCCACCAATAGTTTACATTTCATTAGAAAAAGTACCTTCTTCTATACAGTTTACTTTTAAGTTAGAGTGAGAAATTTAGCACACAAGGAGCAGAATGAAATGCTGTGAAAGGCAACGTTAAGGCAGGGACACATTTCATCCTCTGAAGGAATGGATGTGACGTGTCTGGTGGAGGTGATATATAAATAGAGAGGTTGCAGTGATGTTTTAATGCTGGTGATGAAGCTCAGAAAGACATTAAGGATAAGATTGGCTACACTGAGTCAACTCAGACTGGCATGGTGACTGTGAAGCAGTTTCACATGAATTTGGTGCTCTGAGTGTGATCCTGTGTGTGTTTGCTATTGTTCAGAAAAATGTAAGATAATTTGTCAAATGATTAATATTATATTTTACAATATTGTTTCATTGACATCTAGGATTTGGGGTTTAAGGAAAAGAAAGGCCCAAAATCCCTCAGAGCCCTGCAGACACTATGAATAATGTGGACTTTTCAGGCCTGCTTCCAGCTCGAGCCCTCCGCTGCTCCCTCCCCACCTGACTTCCAGATCCGCCGCTCATCGTAAATGACGTGAACAATTCCACAAAATCAGTTCCCGTCAAACTCTTGACACAATCGCACCAAAATTCCGTCTGATTTCGAGTCGCTGACATCACAAACTCGAGCTTCAGCAGTGGATGAGGAATTCCTGCGTGGCCCCGTGCTTCCCGCGTCTCCCCGTTCACCTCGCCTTCTGCTCAGAAATATGAAAAGAAACAGATATTGCCGCGCGAGCGCCAGGACACTGAGTGCATGCTGTGTAAGTGCTATCTTGGCTTTGGAAATTGTGGTTTTAGGGGGATTATTTAGACAGAAAGAGAGAGGGCGAGGGAGCATGAGACAGGGAAAAAGTGTTGAACACATACACAGAAAGGTCCAGTTTACAGGAAAGGCTGCATGTAGCTACATTATATCTGCCTGCAGCTAAAGTTACACACACACACACACACAGTCTGAGTGGGCACAACCATCAGGCCCATCTGACACGAGCCAAGGAATGAAAGGTATTTTATTTGAATCACTGCTATCTTTCGCCGGTTGCCACAGGGAATTTAAATTAAGCGGTTCATTTCCACAAAAATACCCTCAATTATTCCACTTAGTTTTGTTCACATGATTGATACCCCGTTCAGTAACAGATTTCTATCAATATTATCTCCTTGTGGTCATTTCATCAGTTCAAGTAAATCTTTGAAAGGCTCCATTTCGGCCTGCAAAATGTCAGCAAGCCAGGAAAATATGCACTTTATCCTCTCCCCTCCTCTCCATCCAGTCTGTGAGACAGACCTATAAAGCCTAGCCCGAGTGCTGGTGAAGATCTTTTGTTTTCACAGCACTTTTAAGTACAAGTGTTTGCCCTTGTTTGCACTCCTGCATGCATTCACCACACAGAAAATTGTCCCGATTAATCAGTATCTTTATTTTCTGCTTGCCCACACTGAAAACTAATCTATAAACCTCTTTTGTTAAACAGTTACAGCAGTTCTCTGTAACTCTGCAGATGCAACACCAACTGCTGCGCATTCTGGCACCGGTTTTGTAGCTGAGTGACATTGTTCCTTCATGTCACCACATGAGGGCGTGTTGTCGGAGGGTACAACCACAACACAGCTGGAAGCCTGAAGAGTCGGAGACACTGCAAATCTGAAGCATTTCAGCAAACACCAACCAGCTGAGAGAAACTGGAACTCCAAGAGTTAAGTCTCTTTGGGAGTGCAAGTAATGGTTATTAAAGCCATTTGTTTGGTGATACCCACAGAGAGTCTCTAAAAAGCTATTCCAAATAAATAAATAAATAAAAAAATAAGAATAAAAATATATATATGTATATACACTGCCAAAAACCCAGAAGATTATTTTTTTTAAAACACTGAAACCAATTTTGGGTAATTCAAATATGCAGTTATTCACTGGCATTGTTGTTTTTCAGAGTTAAGAATATTACTGGTTGAGTTTTGGATGTGCTGGACTTAACTGTAACCCTGCAGTGGTCACGGGTCCGAGCACAACGGGGGGGTGAGGACAAAAAGGAATAACGAGAAACACATTTAACTATTGACTGCCACAAAAAAACAAACAAACAAAAAAAAACTTAAAAAATATATTTGAAAAAACGCGAGAAAGAGAGCAGGGTGGGAGAGGCGTGGACGTGGGTAGGAGGTGTGTAGGGGGTGGGACACAGAAGGATGCAGGGTATGCAGCCTCATCCCGGGGGCTGGTGCACCGGGGAAAAAAGGCCACCGTCTCTCTCCCCTCCAAATACTATAACAGTCTCACTTTTGGAGACGCATCCGGACATCCGGAATCCCATCTGCCTCCCCCCTCCCTAACCTCTCTCCTCTCTCTCTCTCTCTCGCCTTTAACACCTAGCCCGCTTTCAGTCCAGGTGGCAGAGCGCACATCGGCCGAGGGATGCAGACTCTCATCTCCAACAACACACGGATAGCGGAGCTGGGAACAGCCGCCGACAGCCACGGCTCCGTTAGCTAAAGAAGGCGAACAGCTCTGCATTTGCGTGGACTCTAAAAAAAGGATACATTTGTTCTCAATTCTTCTTCTCCCTTTTTTTTCTTAAACTCAAGCGAGCAAATCAAGCTGTGTTCAATGCGCAACCATGCTCATCATCTCATCTCGCAGTGCGCTGCTGTCCGTCTACTACCCACAGATCTTCCTCATCCTCACCAGCGGTAGCTACCTGTAGGTTTCTTCTGAATGAACACATGTAATTTCTCCAGCAGGTAGTAGTGCCTTGTGCGCAAATTAGCCAATTACGCACAGGGAAATTGGACTAAGAGAGAGCGAAGTTTTGTTTTGTTTTTAGTGCAGGTGTTTATTACAGCTGATTTTTTTTATTTTTATTATGATGATTATTATTTTTAGCTCAGCATTTGACTTTGCAAAATGAAGAAATCCGACTCGTGCTTGCATCTCGTTCTGGTGTGGCAGAGATTTTATTTTAGAAAGTGGGGGGTAAAATGAAATTTGGACTATCCAGTCCCTCAATATACGGGAAACATGGGGAGGAAATGCGTGATTTGTGACGTACAGTTAATTTCATTTTATCCTATCATAGACTGCCAAGGAACAAGAGCTGTGGATTTTTCCTTCAACATATGGCCACGTGTGTCATTTTCCGTCTCATATTGAGTCATAAAGATTGAATGAATTCGCTTGAGTGTATGCATGTAGCCAATATTTAATCGGCAAGATTTGTGCACGCCCTAGTGTGTGCGCCGCTGATGAGATGACCTGCCCTCGTGGATTTACACATTACACCAGAACCACTTTGTCATAGAAGCACCTCGTCAGACAAGGGCCATAATTGGAAAGCAGCATATGGAAAAGCCTCAACTTTGGATTACTCCACGCTTTGCCCACAGGCCCAGGCCTATGTAATGAGCTCTTTTCTTACAACATTAAAAGACCCAGACCCTCACAGAGAGAATGATTGCTGCACCATACATGCCTCTCATTCATATTAAGGGCAGGTTCTGAAGCCTTAAAGTAGCTGTGCTGGTTCATGTTTTATATAATATAGAGAAAGAGAGGTGGACAGAAATGTCTGAATTTGAAAACCAGTTTTTCTAATTAAATACGGCACTTTCTTATGTCTATATAAGAGTCCATTAAATCAAACATGATAAGACTTATGTTTTTATTTAGTTATCTTGACAAATGTACCCATTTCTCCTCTTGACAATAACATCTTGATACCCAAGCAAGGTTTAAGTTGGGGGAAGAATTCAAATCTTTCTGATTTCACTCAGATTTCAGTTCCATAATTTCTATTGTTCTCTCTCACTAAGCCCCATTACTCTCTGCCTAGGGCGTTGTCTTCTGTGGTAGCTCTGGGTGCCAACATCATCTGCAACAAGATACCTGGACTGGCCCCACGTCAGAGAGCCCTCTGTCAGAGTCGCCCCGATGCCATCATCGTCATTGGTGAAGGTGCCCAGCTGGGCATCAACGAGTGTCAGTACCAGTTCCGCTACGGCCGGTGGAACTGCTCAGCCCTGGGAGAGAGGACCGTGTTTGGACAAGAGCTGAGAGTAGGTCAGTCTGGTTGAAAGTCAGCTTCTACAAGAAGTATTAACAGTTTTTCTCTGCATAGACACATAGACTGTATGCAAAAGATGGAGGCAGCCACTGCATGGTTACCTAAAGATTGTAGATACGTTTTTGTTTTGCTTGCACCATGTTGGATTTTATGAGCCAGAGGTGACTACATAAAGACAAGCAAGTCAATAAATAAGTTATCAGCTAATGGTAGCATACTTTGTTAGCAAGCTACAGCCACAAAACATACTGCTATACGAACCTGCAAAATCTGTGCTAACTAACATATGCTAGAATTTAAATTTCTAACACTGAAGCAAAAAATATTTCATGAGATAGACATCACAGCTGGCCAAAATAGTTTGTCAGTTAATCCCAAGATAATCAGAATCAGAATCTTTTAATAATGCCTAAGGAAATTATGTATACACCATTAGTGCAAACATACCAAGAATCTCAGCTCAGTAACTTAGCAGAGATATGTCAATGCTCATTTCAATCAAAGAGGCCGTGTCCCAAATTTTAAGTCTTAAAAAGATCCAAACAGGTGAGTTAGGAAATATTCTGCCTTCCGACAGTTGTTATGAAGAGGAAAATTGGCTTTAGAGACTTAATCCGTGTTTCATATCAGGCTCTAAACATTGTTAATTTCATCTTTAATGCTGGTTATTTCAAAACCGAGTCAGTATGGACTGATGTATGCGTTCTAGTCAAAAACTTGGGAGTGACATCACTCCAGAGTTAGCACATTCCAGAAAAAGACAGGAAAAACAGCATTTGTTTTGCTTCTTAGCAAGGTAGAGCCATGCAGGTATTACTAGCAACACTGCATAATGCATATTTTTTTTGTGTTACAAAACACATTCATGGACAGAGCCTGAGTGCTCTGAAAATGCTTATTTAGTGAGTCAAAAATACAGAATAGTGGTAGTACAGATGAGAAGTTTACCGTTTTTCTACTGTTTATGTTTATTGCTGCCATCTCAGGGTATGTTGGTCTGCTCCGACTTTTCTGAATGGTAAATCCAAGTTGAGGGGGTTTTCCACAAAATATTTCCAAATCACAATTTCCGACTTATTCAGGAACGCACCATGAGCACCTTTTGGAGTCAGCCCCTAGTGGCCTTTAGAGGAACAGCAGTGTTTTACACTTCCAGTTCTACCATGGAGGTTGCTGCTTGTAGATTGTTGAATATGTGAAAAGTAGGCTGAGACTGAACGGCTTCAAGGACGAGACAGGGGTGTTTGAGATACTGACATAGTATCAAGTACAGATTGACAATATTTAATATAATATGACCTATTGAGAGTAAAAAGGTGACAGAAGAAAGTTTATTGGCTAACATTTTATAACAGTCTGATTAAATTAAATAAGGTCCAACAGGTGGAAATGATAGATGTGATAACAGGTGGACTGTTCAAACCAAGCCCAGCCAAGATTTCCCATCACTGAAAGTTGAACATCAGTGCGTAGACGAAGCCATTCTTCTTGCCACGAGAATCTCTTCTCATTCTTCTAGTGTTGCCTATGAACGTCCTGTCACTATTGTCAGCGCTGAGAGGAAAAAGTTGGAGCACTGATGAAGGCATTTCTGTTTGGAGCTCCACATGAGAGAACAATGAATGAACAAACTCCAACTCTAACGGCTTTGCTAGTATTCCCAAAGGGGATTTAAGCGACTCTGCTTGCCATGCATCGTGGTTGATGGGGCAAAGACTTTCTCTGTGAAGCCTCGCTTTAGGTCTATCTCTGAAAGCGATGCATAAACACAGACACAAACACCCCTCCCTGCTTTTAGTCCACATTCTTCCCAGTTTTATTCCTCACAGGAGCGTGTTTGCTCCTAATGTGAACCTCTCATGTAAATCACATTGTAGTTGGAGCTGTTTTGTTGCGGTCTCGCTGTGGGTTTGGATGCACGTTTAATCTAGCATCTCTGGGAGCAATCACTTTCTTCAACATGGGAGACGGGCAGACGAGACGTCTGGATCGCTTTATTTCTTTTGTCAGAGGAAATGTCTCTTTTCTTTTGTGGTGTGTGAACAAGACTCAGAGAGACGCTCTAGACCTTACTTTGATCCTCGCGCCCTTTCCATGAGGAACAATTAAAATACTTTATTTTAATAAGAAGTAAACTAGTTAGCAGGCTGCAACAAATGTGTGAGCTTTCTAGATATTTTGGGGGGAGGGGGGGTTGTAAAATAATTTCTTGTAAAATCACACACATCTGTCACCTGATTCTTACCCATTTTCTTTAGTCTTAAAGACAGAAATGTGAGCTAGGGTCTTAGCCCCCTCTCATGTGGCCAATGTGCCATCCACCACTTTATTTGATTGACCTGCTGAGCCTGTGAACTCATTAAATGTTGAGAAAGACCAGCGAAATTCATGCAAAACCACTAATTGAAGTCAGCTCCAGCAGCTGGATGGCAACAATGGAACCCTGCATGCACTGCTGTACAATCAAAACAAATCACAGTGCGAAGAGATGGCTGTTTGGCTATTGAATGCGCCTGATGCCTGGAGAAAGACTCAACCATACAATATATCCGAATGGGTCGCAGATTCAGCCTGATGAGAGACGACTAAAGAGTTTGTTTTGAGTTATGGAACGAGCGAACCGCAGGCCTGATGGTTTGCGAGAGCGAGTTTGTCAGGTTGGAGGCGCGCCATTAGAATCGCCTCCACCAGAGACGCCATGGATTAATACTCTGGGGCTGCTCAGAAGAACGGAGGCCCGGCATTATCCTGATTGGTGAGCGGGGATATCCTGTTACCAGCTTCTGTGCCAATAAATCCATCCCCTTTCTGCCCCCCTCCCCCACCCCATAAATATCAACGTGTTTATTCTGAAGTTCAATTGGTGACACGCAAAAAGCTTGGAAATGGGCACATCTCAGTCGAGCCTGGCCACAGATTATTTCAACATGCAACACACAGCGGTATCATTTGCTGGAATGATGCGGACCGCCTAAGACAGAGACAGAATGACACATGAGCTGCGTGAGAAATCCCATTGATGAAAAACATTAAGCAAAGTAACTGCGAGTGCTGATCTTTAAAGAAAAAAGAAGCTCCTCCAGTCAGCCAGTAGATGTCACTTGTGTTTTCTTCACCATGGTGATCACTGCTTCAACAGTTACCGACTAACTGTGCAGATCAGCGATGGAGCATGAAACAAGGCTTACGGAGAAGTTATGAAACTGTGCCTTTACTCTTAGGCTCATTATTTTGCCTCTTACAGTAAATTTACGGAAGGCATTAACAAATACTGTTATACACCACTGCTCTCTTTCATATTTAATCATGTCCTTAAAAAGCAGTGAATATTTTTATTCTCTAAAGCCAAAGAGCAGCAACCCAGCTTTGCACTTCAATACATTTTGAGGGCTTTTGCCTTTTCCGGAAAGCTGGAAACGAGGGACTAGAGAACTTGTCGTGAAATGCAACAAATGTTTGGCTGCTGGGGTAACCTCATAAAATTGAAAGGCCTTTTGTCTGCCCACACAGAAGTGTTTTCTTTTATTTTTGCCTTGCGTGTTATTTGACATCAAGTCAAATCAAATCATTAAAAAAAACAGAAGAAGGACACTACAAAGCATGCACGGTGACCAAGCTTTACTTGGACGGACCTTAGGACAGACTTCACAGCTAAAAGAGAATAAAATAATAATAAAAAGGAAAAGTTAAAACAAGACAAGCAATGCATATGCAAATGCCAAATATTCAGCCTAGTTTAAAAGCCAAAAACATAAAATGTGTTTTCAAATGATTTTTTTTTTTTTTTCTCAAAAAAGAATGCTAGTTTTGGAGAGGTCCTGATTTAACTCTTTACCCCTTGAAAGCCTAATAGGAGGAATCCTTGAAGCTTTAAGGTATCCCAAGAAAATAGATCTTCAGCGGTTTGGTGACCTCATGGTAATTCTACCATAGGTCTGCATAACCTCTAATTGAGCAGAGGGCTAATTAGCTAAAAGGAGTGACTTGGTAGTGTAAAGGAATCAGTACATCAGAAGTGACTTTCAATGGGTCAAGACAAAAGCCTTTAAGCTTACAAACATGGGCCACAGTCCAGAAATGCTGAATGCTATATTGTCTTTAAGCCCAACTTTTTCCTGATAGTAACACTTTTTGCTAAGAGCATTTGAAAAGATGTCAGAAAGACAGAGAATAATGTCTTTCTGACATCTTGTCAGGTTGCTGACTATATTTCATAAAAATGAATATAGTATTGAAGGGTTCTCTGTTAAATCTTTCAATGCTCAGTTCAATTCAGTTTTTCAAGTAGAAATGTTAAAAATCCCTTCAGATGTGTCCTCATGAGCTGAAAGGTATGTTCCACTACATTAAGATCAGGTGACTGAGTTGACCATTCTCTTTGCCTGGAGAAACTCTTGGGTTGCTTTCGCAGTATACCATAACAATGCCTCCACCATGTTTGATAGATAGTGTGGTACGCTTCGATCATGAGCTGTTCCTTTCCTTCTGCATACTTTTCTCCTCCCATCATTCTGGTACAAATTCATCTTGGTTTCATTTGTCCAATGATTTCTTTCCCAGAACTCTGCAGGTTTCTTTTGATGTTTTTTTGGGAAAGTCTAATCTGGTCTTCCTAACCAATCTGCACCTTAGTGTAAACGCTCTGATTCTTAGATTTTTGCATCTCTTGACTGTAGACTTTGACAACAGCAACAGGTCCACCTGTTCTTGACTTTGTTGTGAAGTTGTGAAGAGGTTTTTCTTGACCATGTAAACATATATTTCAGTTTTTTTCTGTGTTGATCTTGGTGTTGCTGAACTGGCCAGTGCATATATTCTGTTTAAGAGTGAACCAGGTTGTTGATTTGGCCACTCCTAAAGTTTCTGCTGTCTCTCTGATAGGTCTGGTTTTTCAGACTAATGATGGCCTCCTTCACGCCCATCAGCATCTCTATGAACCTAATATTGGAATAACAATGGATTCGGTATATTAACATGATTCTATTTCTTCAGGCAGCAGGGAAGCAGCGTTCACTTATGCCATCACGGCTGCTGGAGTTGCCCATGCAGTAACCGCAGCGTGTAGCCAAGGCAATCTGAGCCAGTGTGGTTGTGACCAGGACAAGCAGGGCTACAATGACCAGGAGGAGGGCTGGAAATGGGGAGGCTGCTCAGCTGATGTCAAATACGGCGTGGAGTTTTCGCGGCGTTTCATGGACGCCCGCGAGATCAAGAAAAACGCCCGGAGGCTGATGAACCTGCACAACAATGAGGCAGGGCGAAAGGTAACACATGATCACAAAAGTCTATCTGACCAGTTGTAAACTAAACAATAAAGCAAATAATAATTAAACGATGTGTGACATAAAACGTGATGGTTGGTAAGGACGACTCCTAAATGGAGCTGTGCCACAGGCCTACAGCCCATTCACTGAATTACTAAGCATTAAGTCAGAGTTGAGGATATTATCCCCCGCCTCCTTTCTCAGAGGCAGCACCAAAGACCACACTTCTGCGCCACCACAAATACTGAACCGACCGGAGGGACTTCCAAAAATGCGATAACCACGAGGGGAAAGACAGAGTTTCTCTTAAGACCAGAGCTGTAGACAAACAAGTTACAACATGATGTAATTATGAGCTTTAAGTCATCTCACATTGAAAATGCATCGAAAACAAAATACAGCTCGGTCACCAAGGCAAACAGTCACCTGTCAATTTTGTCATCTGAAAATATTTGTATGGCAATATAATATAAATCTGGCTCAAACCACAATGTAACTCTATACATGCATGGTTGCACAACGGCTCTGGTCAGTTTTCTCGGGCTGACATGCTATTCTGTGGTCTCAGCAAAGGTAAAGTTAATTAGAGACTACAGTTCGGGGGTATGAGTTATTTTCCCCAGGTTTTGACATAAAGTTGGCCTATATGTTGCTGTGCTGAAAGTTGAAGTGCCCACAGAAAACCCAGCTCACCAGAACAGACAGACTTGAAGGCTGAGCGAATGCTATTAAGCATTTTAAGCAATGGACCTACAAATTTAAAATGACCATTTGCAACACACAGAAGTGTGTACACCCCCGCACAACGTCAATTAAATGTCAAATTATTCAAAATGATGAACTTGTACTAGCTGCTTACTTTTAAGTTGAATGGTCAAGTGTTTGTTCTCATGTGAAATTAAAAACAGACCGATTCTATTCAAAATACAGGAAAGCAGAGCAGCAACTTTTAATAACAGATTCGATCCGTTTTGGCATGAAGAATATCGGTGTCACACAGATTTCTGATGAGATGCTGTGCCGTTCTTCAGAGACATTTCTTTCAGCTGTTGGTGTTCTGCTGGATTCCAATCAGGCAATATACTTGGCCTGGTCATAGTTTTGAGTTTTCCTTCCTTTAGAAACTTTTGTGTGCTTTGGATGATTATCATGCTGGAAAATTCGTGTTCTGCCAGTCATTTTGTCAGCCGGTATTTTGGGATTTCCACGGGTAGCCATGGCCCATCTATAAATGTCATCTCTTCAACCTCCTTTGCATTCATTCAGCCCCGTATCACCTTGGAGCTTCGCTGCTGGTGTGGGGGTCCCGGACGAGTTTGCGCCAAACACATTGGAACCTATCTAAGGCAAATAAATGTATCTGGCTTCATCTGACCAAAGAATGCTCTCCTAAAACCAATTTTTGTGTGGAAGAGCAAGCAGGACCTTTTTTGGAAGTCATCCTTAGAGCGTGCACCGTCCTTTCGCACTGTCTCAGATGTCACACAAACTCTGACTTTCACTGATAAGATAAACAGAGGCTCAAAAATTACCTCTCAGATTTTAACTAGTCTACAGACTATGGTCTGTGGTGACAATTCAGGAGGTCAGTGGCACTATGGCTGGCTCTGTTACTCTTGATTAGTGCTGCAGCTGTGTTTTGACTGCTTTTGAGTCGGTTACTGATCTTTCTCCATGTTTTTCCAACCTATTTTTCAATTCCTTTGGCAATTCTACTCTATAAAAAGCCATAAAGCAGCCAAGCAGACAGACAGCCCATAGCTTCAACATTAAAAGGGCTGTGGGGGATCAACACTGCTAAAAAAAAAAAAAAAAAGAATTAAGGGAACACTTCATTATCATAGTATAACATAAAAATCAGTTAAAGTTTCAGTTATGAAGCATGAACCACTTTGAATGAATTTATCTGCTTTGATTAAAATCAAAGTGATAACATGTGGAGATTCTCGAAAAGGGAATGGTTTTGCAGGTGATGCCCACAGACCATTGCTATCTCCTTATCCTCATCCCTGTATATGATGTTGCAGGCAGCGTAACGTTTGCCACACCAGTTCCATACTCTTCTGCATCTGTCATATGTGCTCAGTGTGACAGTGTTTGCTCAGAAAAACATGCATAAATAGCTTTCATGTTCATGTTATAGGGCTCTGGCAGTGAACTTCCTGCACCTCTTCATACAAAGGAGCAGATACCAGACCTGCTAGTGCGTTGATGTTCTTACACAACCGTGTCCAGCTCTCCTCGCGTAACGGTCCATCTCCTGGTATCTCCTCCACATTGTTGAGAGTGTGCTGGGAAATACAGCAACCCTTCTTGGATGGATCAACCCTGAATGGGTTAGGATTTACGTACCAGCACCCCCAAGCACCACAGAGGACACTAGCAGTAGCCAAAACTGAAGAAAATTCAGTCAGGTGGGATGAGGAGAGAGGAATGGTCTGTGGCCAGCACCTACAAAACCATTCCCTTTGTGGCGACTGTCTTGTTGGCTCTCCAGTGCACCTGCTGTCACTTTCATTGGCACTAAAGCAGATTAAATCAGAATGGTTTTTGCTTTCTAAATGGGCAAGTTTATATCCATGACGTTTAACTGACTTTGATGACCAAATGTTCCCTTAACTTATTTTGAGTGGGGGATGTTCCGGCAGTTAGGCCAACTGGAAGTCAAGGATTTACTCAGTTTGTTCTCATGATAATGAGATTTCTTGTGTGTAAGCAATCTCAGGTGTAATTCATTTTTATTGCATTGAGTTTCTATTGTAAGACCTGTGTTTTCAAAATACTCTTTCTTAAGTTCTTTGCCAAGTTTTATTGTTAATTGTTACTTATCCTACTGATTAGGCTTTTAACCACCATGATTAATGTGTACCAACCTAATATCTACTCTCTGTGCGCTCAGATCCTGGAGGAGAGAATGAAGCTAGAGTGCAAGTGTCATGGTGTATCTGGTTCCTGTACTACTAAGACCTGTTGGATCACCCTGCCAAATTTCAGAGAGATCGGTAACCTGCTGAAGGAACGCTACAGCGATGCAGTTCAAGTAGAGCCAGTTCGAGCCACGCGGCTTCGCCAACCCTCCTTCCTGCGTCTCAAACAGGCTCGAGGCTACCAAAAGCCCACAGACACAGACCTGGTGTACCTGGAGCGCTCTCCCAACTATTGCGAAGAGGACAGGGCCACAGGAAGCACAGGGACAAGAGGAAGACTGTGCAACGGCACCTCGAGCCTCGCAGACGGCTGTAACGTGATGTGTTGTGGTCGGGGTCACAACACACACCACTACACGCGAGTCTGGCAGTGCAACTGCAAGTTCCACTGGTGCTGTTTCGTCAAGTGCAACACATGCAGTGAGAAATCAGAGGTTTTTACTTGCAAGTGAGGAAACAATGAGGCAGGGTACCGAGAAAGGAAGGGAAAAGGGACAAGGGTACGAAGGGAAGGGAATATGAGAAGCTGGAATTGGAAGTGAAGAATTTTGGAGGTATTTATTACATTTTGCACATTCTGACATCCCATCTGGAATGGAAAACAAAGTGGAATTTGATTGGGAGCAACAGACATAAATATTTAAGACACGTAACTGCTTGCATGCTAGAGTAAAAGTGACATGACAGTGAAAGGATTTTTAAGATAATATCAGTGACGTATCCTACAGATGTTCCACAGAAGAAGAGAAAGGCGACTGTTGGATCTTGGAAAACGTCTGGAAGACGCTAACTGGAAATACTATGAAGTAAGATTGCAGCGGAATGCGTTCAGCTCTACACTGTACTCAGTTTGAACACTGAAAATGAATTATTTATGTCAAAATATTTTTCACACTTAGAGGATGGTTAGCAAATTCACGTGCTCTGGCATTTTTTTTCCTCTCTCCAATTCATGCGGGCCACAATGGTTTTGTCATATGGAAGCTCAATTACAGCAACTAAACAGCAAAAATAATCTTTTTCCATTTTTTCCTCCCATAAAGGGCAACTTACTAGTGCTTTATTCTCTTTTTTTGCACTCACGTGGTTATGTTTTCTTTTTTTATGTCATGAGACATTGGTTACTTTGGGGAGCTGTTGGGTCATGGACATACACTCACCGCCGATGCTTTCCTATGCCAAGAACCAAAGAGGCAGAAAAATACACATGAAGTACTTTTAAACACCGTACTTGTCAGTTTGAACGGCACCTCGTCTTGACTGTGTTCACTGTTTTGTTTTTGGAAGGCTCTTGACTTCTGTGAAAACCATGTAAGCCTCATTGGAACTCTATAGAGGTGCAATCAGGTTCAGATACATCCAGCATTCCCATGAACGGCAGAGACGTGGAATTCCACATTCATGGTCTGTGCTTACACAAGGCCTTCCAGCGCGGTTTAGGCCTGCCTGGGTGGATGGCATGTACCCCAACCACACGGAAGAGGGTATGTGAGGATCAAAGGCCTCAAAGCTATTTTTGGACAGAACCCTTAATGTATTCAGAAATGTTTATTTAGGCTTTATATAACTTACAAAACATTTTGAAGAGTATATTTTTATATGAGGAACGTGGCACTTTATGTCATTTAAGGTGGAAAGAAAGTCACTATTTAGGAGTGCTTTCTGACATCATTGTATACAGATTGAAAAGCTTTAAGTTATTTGGAATTTTTGTTTTTCTTCAAGGTTCCTAAACTGTAAATATTCTACATGTTTTATCAAAAGTTGACCAGATCGTCTATCTTCACATGATCCTTCATAACTCAGAGTGGGCTCTAATAGTTAGTTGTCAAATCAAAGTAATGCAAAGGCAAGTGGAAACCACTATTAAAGTGGACCTATTGTGCTTTTCCTTGTTTTCTATCACATATATAATGCTACAATGGTGGGTGCTCATATTAAACATGGAAAGGTTTTCAATTAATGAAGCCTGAAATCCTGCTTCAGACTGCACTAAACACTTAGTTTTAGTGTGTTTTTCCAACTTCAGCTCTGTGTAGTATTCACTGAGAGGGGCCATCCTAATATGGTCATCTAAGGGACAAATTTTGTATTTGTAAATGGCATCCAATCAGAAGAAAGTTGACTTAATGAGAGGGTTTTATTAAAGGAAATGGATGAATACAAGATAAATAATGATTATTTTGAACTGTGAATCACTCAAAGCTACTCTAGAGTCCAAGTATTATAATATGCAGCTGGCAAGCATAATAGGTCCCCTATAAAAAAATAAAAATAAAAAGGTACATGGAAGGTGCTTATAGACAGTACATGGGTAGTGTAAAACAAAGTGCATGTATTTTGTATTTGTCTTGATGGTGCTTTTGGTTAACAGTTTCCTAAAAGCATAGCTATAACTTAAAGAAATTTAACTAAATCTGTATTTTATTTGTTTTGTTGCAAAATTAGAGTCTGCAACACAAACATTGACAGTTGTATTTCATTCTTTTTTTTACCAATAAAATTTCTAAGGCACCTGTAGCTTTTTTGTTTTGTGTCACAAAAGGCCAACAATATTTCAATAAAAACAAAGAGCTCCTTGATACACGCAGTCCTTTATTATGCATTAAACTCATTATTCATAACCTCATAGTACGACCCAAAGAAAATGAAGCTTTGAAACCCCAACCAGAAGGCACAAGTACATTATAGTAGAGGCCTGTGGTGTAAAATGCTGACATGGGAAACAAGAAATCATGACCTTGACCAATGTGGTACTAATGTGTTAGGAGATGACCACATGGCTGCAGCCATGCCACCTCATTCAGCCAGGCTGACTTGCACAGGCTCTTTCCTGTGAGGCTGAAAAGCATTGCAGCCATTCAGTCAAGTGCGACTAACAGCTGTTTTGTTAGCCGTCTGAAATCCTGGGGACCGGAACCCCATAAGCTCCCTTCACTATGTTGGCGGATCGAGAGGAGAGTCCGACCAATTGTTTCAACACATTTTGTCATTAAAAAATCAGGTGCAGAGCAAACAGGGTGGAGCAGGGTGTTGGCAGGCGCATAAAGCGCTGCTTTGTTGAGTTGTCAGGACCGTTCAGCTTATCCAGCAGCAGGAGGGATGTCATTCTGCAAACTAATGCTTATGGTCCGATTCCTCTCACTCGCTCTGCAGATGCACAATTCCACTATGTTTTTATCTACTGCCTACTGATGTAGAATTGCTATCACAGGTCAGCAGACCAAACATGGCTACAGCTAAACAGGAAATACAATATTGATGAAATATTCCCGGAAAAGTCTCCGGAGTCTGGTATAATAAATAATAGATTGCTCAAAGTATTGTGAAGTGTAAGTTGGTGTTATTCTAGAATGGTTAGAACTCATCCTGCATGCCATGATCTCTCTAATGACTTAGTTTTAATCATTAATGGATAGAAATAGAAGATTAGGGTGAAATTCACAAAACTATGTTAAGTATTTAACTAATACTGTTATAATCCTAAAACAAGAATAATTGGAAAGGCAAGCAAAAACACGGTAAACACACTGGGCCTTGTTTTTAAATAACGACACATGCATTTGTATTACTGCATTTCCCCCTTAAATCGCCTTAGCTTATAATATCGTGAATACCATATCTGTGTAGATAAGTGGATATTGGAAATACTTGAACAAGGTCTTCATATCATGACCAAGATGCCTCCATTTAATTAGGTAAGGCAGGGAGGGGGTAGATTACATCATGTTTTGGTCATTCTCTGTTTCATGGTTACTGCAGAAGTCACTATGGGCCTGGGATTAAACCCAAACCCCTGCTGGTATCATCTGTGTCTGTGAAAAGCAAAAAGCCAGGATACTGCAGTGCTCTTTGTCTTTGGATTAAACCGCAAAACATCAGCCCTGCCAAAAGTTACCAGCATGAGCTCGCCACTAACAAACTCATTTCCCAGACTCGGATCAAGACAAAGCCAGAGCTCCTGGCATCCTGACCTCTGCTTCTATACCACAGATCTTTTGTTTACATAATAGTTTAGGCTTGAGTACCAGCATTACTGAGGTAGAAAAATACGTTATAGAGCATAATACATACTTTTCTGAGCGCACTTTTTTGATTATTGTGTGGGCAGCAGTGTGACTGTTAGTTATCCTGGGCAGGCGCAGATAATATTTGTCTAATACTAAGCAGGCCTATAACCTGAAGAAGCTGCTTAAGTACTTGGTAACATTCATGAGGCTTTTAACACAAGCTGCATGTTCACCCATTAGTGTACACATTTCATGTATTCCCTTCTACTTTACATGGAAACCTGTTTATGGGTTGAGGACCTTCTTTCTCCTCACAGATGTTTTTTAGGAGTCTTTCCTCACAGGTTTGAGCAGCAAGGTTCCATCTCGCTCTTCCACCAGGAAACCCAACTCCCTGAGCGCGGAGTAGTCAGCTGTGCCGCAGCGTTCCAAAGTGGCAATCAGTTTCTGGTTCTCCGAGTTGTGCTCCAGGAGGTTCCTGATGGTGAAGATTGCCCACTGGCTGATGACTAGAGATGCCCGGTTAAGGACAACAATGTCAAAGTTTCTGCTTTAGAGAGTGGAACATGCAGCTGTTCCATCTTTTATTTTTAAACATATTTTTCAATGACTTATTATTTCCTTATTTTCTCCTCATATTTATACAGCTTCAGAGGTAGATCTTCATATTAAAGATGGGACAAAGTTACAAATAATACAGTCAGCATATGTGGAAGGAATCCTTGTTAGACAAAAGCTTGGGAATCAGTTTCTGGCATTCTCATAGAGAGGGGATCTCCATAATACAGTAAGGCTAAAAGCAGCCCCACCCACCTGCTCTTCAAACCTTGTGTTTCCAAGGGGCAGCCAATGAGAAGAAACCAGGTTTAAAGAGAGATGAATAGCTGAAACTACTCATTTCAGACAAAGGACAAACTGAGGGGTTACACCACAGCCAAGTTTATGAGAACTATGGATGATTTTGAACCGATTAAAAGTGAGCAACAAAACAAAACACATTACTATTGCCTAAAAACAAGCATCCATTTAACACTACTGCATCAATTTAAATCAAAATTTGTGGTCTTATTCAGTCTCTTTTGGAATTAAGTTTTGTATATTTGTACAGTAAAGCCGGTGAGTTTGCCCCCCCCCCCCTCCCAAAAAAAGCCAAAAAAAACAACAACAACAACTTTGCATCGCGCTACAAGGTAGTAGATGTCATGCAAGATGGATCTAGGAAATGATTTGTTATAGAAAGAAAATACAATACCAACAAAACCTGGAAAATAGATCAAGCTCTTTCAACTCATGAGCAGTTTTTATTTTCCCTGGGTCATTGACTTCAAAGACAGCCTAACAAACAAACGGGTTTGCAGACAGGTTGTGTATACTTTGCATTTCAGGTCACCCCATACACACTTTTTTTTCTAGATAACTACATTTTCTAGACAGGATGTAATGGTAGATAGACTGGGTTGTGGTTCTGTGTGTGTGGATGTGTCGGTAAGCAGACATGAAAGATAAACATGGGAACAAAAACAATGACCTGAAGACATATGCGTTTTCTCAAAGACTGTCAAAAAGTTGTGACAAAGATACATTATATGTGAGCTCCCTCCAGTTTAAAGTCAGGGTTTGTGGGTCTGATGAATGTGGTGCTGGAAGCGTCACTTTCTTTTAGTGCAATAAATAAGTGAAAACTGGAGCTCCGCAGTGTACCAACTGTTTATTTTCTTTCTTCCAAGGTCTGCTGGTACCCATCAGCTAATTGAATCAAGCCCAATAAAGTGTAACTCCACTGGATAGAAGAAGAAAGTTTAGCATTTTACTTTAGTTGTGTATTAAACTGGATTTAAAGTTTACAAAACAAAATTTGCATGTTGAATTAGCCATTTTAACACCAACTGCAACCCATCACATGATACTGTCAACCATCTGCAAGCACAGCAACATAACTCTCTTCACATTTCGGCACTCTTTCCTTGCCAGCCAGTACACGCTGCAACAATTAAAGCTCAATGCAAAGTTGTGCAGGCAAGCCCACTACCTTTACTGTACAAATATACAAATATACAAAGCTTAATTGCAAAAGAGCCCACAAACTTTTTGCTTAAATATGAAGAATGATTTAAATAAACATGAAATATGGCTACATTACCACAGCTTCATATCTATACTTCACAGAAAGGATACAAGGATTGTTGCTGTCAATGTTGCAGTTATCCAAGATGAGGGAGATGCCTTCAAGTTCTCGCACCTATGGGATATAAGAAAATGATATCAAATATAGAGTAACTCAGCTGCCAGGTCCCCAGCTAATTTCACAGTGTTACCTTCTAATGAATTAGAATGTAATTAATTACCCAATTTCTTTTGCTTGTTTTCACTGTTGTTTGTTCAACTTTAACGGTAACATATTACTGTAACGTAACGTGAGGCGTTGTTGACTACTTGATTCATTATCATCACTTCACCTGTCAGCTCAGCAGGTGTACTCGCAGTGAAACAGAGCAGAATGAGGCAAAACTAGCACAACTATAAATGACAGCAGTAAGCAGCTGCCTGATGACTCTCACATTGAACCAATATGAGACCAGTGTAAATAAATCGTCAAATGCCAATTTAGTATATTTATCCTTGGAGGTCATTTATTCCCAAATTCTACTTTCCAAAAATCAGGAAAAAATAGAGCCTGATATAGCTTGATACAAAATGATTTTGGCTGCTCCATCCACCTCCATCTCAAACTATCCTCAGCATCCTCTTTTTAAACCAGACCTCTCTATGGATCCGCCTTCATTACATCCATGAATCGTCTCTCTGGTCTTCCTCTTTTTCTCCAGGCTGGCAGCTCCATCGTCAATATCTTTAATAAAATATATCCACTGTCCCTCCTCTGCATGTCCAAACCAGCTCAGCCTTGTGTCTCTAACTTTGAACTGTCCCTCTGATGTACTCTTTCCCAGTCTTGTCCATCCCTGTCACTGCAGCTACTACAGCTCAGCACATCAATTTTGTTCTTGAAAAATCAACCAGTACCACTCATACCTCAGGTATGTCAACTGGACCGACTTGAATAACACATTATTTTTAATTTAACACTGATATTGGATCAGTACTCAGCATCTGCTGAAGTAAAAACATTTACATATCAGCACCACAAACTGCCCATTGTTTATGCAAGAATAAAACCAGATACTCCTAATGAGATGACTTATTAAGTGAACAAAACTATAGCAAAAGGTCTTGCTGTACAGTCTCTAGTTACTTTATATCTCTTTTTCAGGAGGAAATAAATCTGTATAAACTTACTTTATATTCAAGATTTACTAAAAGAATTTGTGAGACGTTTATCGAGGTTCACGATTCGAGTTAAGAAACAGCAGACAAAGGAACAGTACAGAGATGCCCTTAGCAGAGCCTCACATCCATGCAAACAAAGCAGTGTGGTTGTGGGTTAGTCTAAGAGCACCACAACAGGACAATCTGTTCT